TTTCCCATCTATTGAGGGCTGAAAGGATTCACAGCAAATCATAGATTCCTCTGCTATGGAAATTTCAGGCTTCAGAAGCCATCCAGGTTTTGAGGCCTTCAACAATAATCATAAATAACAAGACAGGAATATCTTCTGATAAATCATTACTTAAAGTTATATGTTTAAGCTCACATATTTAAGTTATTTGCTCTTTAGAGCTCCTACTGTAATATCACATGTCCTGGGACTAAGCTGTCGAAATCTGCAATAAATTACTCAAAATCAGCTGATTTGAGAAAATGAAAACTTCAAACAATAATTACCCTGGCAATACAGGAAGAAGAGTATCAGGACTGAAGCATCAGAATGCAATCTGTCTGTGGAATGAGCTACCCACACTGAAAATAATTCTAAGACTTCAGGACTAGGCCAATTTGTTTTAGCTACAATGAAACTGGGTTTAAATAGCTCCTATAACCTTTTGATAAATCCATTCTTCTCCCCTCTAGCTTCTCTACTTAAGATTTGTTTTATAACACTGTGCACCAGTATGGTACAGCCTCTGTAATTGTCACCCCCAACTTTCAAATTGCAAGCATGTAAACAGAGGGTGAAATGTATTATCATTGAGCTCTGTCATGTGTAGATTAAACAGATTTCTGATGATAAACTAATGCTTTTAAAAGGGATTAAAAGTTAATCCTTGTGATAAACACTTTTTTTTAAAGTAAGTTTATGAGATTACATGTAACTGTATTTCCTCATCTCACTCTAACCAAGGTCATAGCTTTACTGTAAACAATGACTAGTCAGATGGGACTTACAAAGTTAATATCAGAGTGTGCTTTGTCTGTCACTATTCTCATAATATTAATAAAAATGATAGCAATGTTCTTTTCATTGGTAACATTTTAATAGATAACTTTATCATGCAAAAATATATTACTTTCCTGGGTCATAAAATATTTTGAAGATTTGATAAAGAAGTATATTTGATTTGTTGAGTGGAAATCACTAAGTTTTTCAGAGGAAAGTTATCATGTAATTCAAATAAGTAAATAAATGCATATTTTAAGTTTTATATTTGAGGGATTTATTGCCTTAGTATTTATATCCATCAATAAGATTCCTAAATCCTTGAATAAGTATTTTTCTTATAATCAAGGATAGCAATTAATTTTTCAATTCCCCAGAATTCTTTTTTGTTATTTGCAACAAATGATAGGTTGGAACAATTTTTTAGTAACTTTTCTGTGAGTGTGGATTTCTTGTTTTTTAATTGTTTGAATTACAGATTTAAAATCAAATAAATTTAAGATATTTTGCATTGATGATGTTTTGAATGTATTAGGCAAATGAAACTTAAGCCATGTTAATAAATTATATAAAATGTATTTTAAATAAGATTCCTACAGGTTTCTCTTGGATTAATCTTTAGCTTTTAGCAAGATCATTTTGCCAGTTAATTTCTTATGGAAAAAAGCTAAATTTATTGTTGTGTAGTACATCATATTTTTTGTTACTCACCAATAGAGAGAATAGCAAAGGTAATAATTTGGTATTGCTATTTTTCCTTTAATCCACAAAGCTCAAAGATCTATATGAATTATCAGCTAAAGTCCAATATCAAGTATTATTTCCCTCAAAATTGTAGCTTCTTTAAAAAAATAGGGGATTGTATTGGTGGGTGACATAGAAAAAAAAGAATGCTCAGATGGGAAATACATTATGATTCTAGCTTTCTAGATAGCTGTTTGTTTATTATATTAATTCTAAGTAAATTTTTAGAATTGTATTCTAATTTTACAAATATGTACTGCATACATTTTCCCCGTTTTATTTTGGTAAAAGATTGGTATGTGTTGAAATAACACAAATGTCCTTCCCAATCATTTCAATTATTTTCAGAGTCCATTAAAGTTTGCAAGCTCTTATCAGTAAAGTCCCCTTCTGGATCTTTTTATCCAATAATAACAATGATGATGATGATAATGACAATGATAATAACAATAACAATGTTGTCTTTCAGAGTCCAATGCGGATGTTTCACAATGTAAAGGATGTAGGATTTCTCCAGGTGAAAGTCATCAGAGCAGAAGGGCTGATGGCAGCTGATGTCACAGGCAAGAAATTATGTCACTCCTTTAACAATGCAAAAGGTCCTTGCCTTTAAGTAGTTTTAAGATTTGCATTATATTGGACTATAGCTTCTAAATAAAATGTTTAAAAAGAACAAAGGCTAGAATTAAATCTTGATAGTCACAAAGGAAACACACACACACATGCAAAGCAAACACATAGCTCAGTATATCATGACTGTATATTTGAAATGAGCAGGATATTCTCCCTGTATACCACATCCAAATATGGCTAGGAGAACACTACAAAGGACAGAAGTTGAGAGAAGGAAATGTTTTCCCAAATCACCTCTTCTACTACACGATTCCTTAACAATATAGCAAGTATTTTCCAGCATATGTGGATGAAAGGTACTCCATACTCCTTGGCCCGTCCCCTTATTATGTGAGCCAATTTGGGGGACATTGAATGAGTTCACCTTAGCTTAGGCAATCCCACCTGTTGGGGATTTTCTCTTGAAATTGTGTGGATCTGTACTGGACATCTGGTGTTGTTATAGATCCATTCTCCAAGGCAAAGGTCTTAGGGGAACCAAGGATCAGTGGGGTTTCATGAACTGCAAGCTGAGAGCATTCTTTCTCTGTGTGTGCCTGGGTATTAGATGTTAGAAGAGATCTGACAGTTGTTATTTCTGCATTTCCCAAAATTAAAATTTATAAAGTTGGATTTATGGCTGGGTACCTTTTCCCTAAAAACATTTGTTCTTTCTTTATCTAGGGGATTTGGGGGTGTTTGCACCATTAATTAAAAGAAGCACTCTCAGAATGTTCAGGAAACAGGACTATTTCAATGTATCTTTATGTCAGATCTTATGTTGCTTAATGATAGTACTCATTTGGCATTTATGGAAATATGCCTGCCATTTACATGTGAGCAAAATTATCCTCAAAAAGAATGGCTTTGAAAAGAACTACACCTTTCCTACCATTAGAGGGCCTACAAAGATTTCACGAATAGTAGATACCATTCAGTACTCTAGTGTTAAATAGACCCTGAGAAACCAGAACTGATTAAAAAACAATCTGTTAATATCTCACAAATGAGAGTATACCAAATGTTAGTCACATGCTATTCTCAGAATTTATTTCTACATCTTATCAATTGCCTATTTACTATTATTAAAGGAAAGGACAAAATGAAAATATTTAGGAGTTTGCAATTTATCTTAAAAAAAAAGTAATGGTAAAGAAAGTAGTAGTAGTAGCAGCTGTTGGCCATTGTCCAAAACTATTTCATAAGTTCAAATATGTGTCCCCTGTCATTGGGGCAGCTAGCCAGACATAGAGTCAGGATGACCTGAATTCAGATATGGCCTCAGACACTTACTAGCTATGTGACCGTGGGCAAGTCACTTAATCTCAGTATGCCTCAATTTCCTCAACTGTATAATGGGGATAATAATAGCACCTTTCTCCCAGGGTTATTGTGAGGATCAAATGAGAAAATAATTATAAAGCTTTTAGCACAGTGCCCAGCACATAGTAGGCACTGTATAAATGTCAGAAATTATCATTGTTATTATAAATGTGCTGATTTGTATCCTTATATTAAATGATTCCTATCAAGACTGTCTTCCAAATAATTCATTCCTCTTGTGTTGGAATTTTATTTTCTGGTTTAGTTCAAGGCAATTTTTTTTGCACAGTTATTTTGATAAATTAATACTAGCACCATGTGTTTGAAGGCTCAGATACCTGCCCATAGTGGGGTTGAATACAATAACATGAGATTGTCTTCTCTCAGAGAGAAGCTGTCATGGCTGTTAAAACTTCATGAATATGCAAACTCTGTTAACCTGTTTGGCCTGTGTGCCACTATGGAAGTTAAGGAACATGTTCTTTCACAGATGGAAGAATATAGATATTCCTTTCCTAATGGTACTATGTAAATTAACATGAATAACAATAGAATCTTTCCCAAGATCCAACTAGACACAATTTTATTTTTATTACACAGATTTTTCTCCCCTTTCTTATGTTTTTGGAGAAATAAATCTGATGGTTCCTCACTCAGTTTTGACCTTAAAATCTAATGTAGTCTGAATTGAAAAAGAAAGAAGATTGAGCTTTCCAGGGGCAAAGGGATAATTTAGTCTTTGACCTTATTCACTCCTGGACCTTTTGTGGTCATCATGACATTTGTGCTGATTGCAAAAATTGGGGGGCATATATTTAACTCAGTGATGGCCAGGTATACTACAAACCTTTCAAATACTGCTATTCTTGGTCCTAAATGCTATAACTGGGAAAGAAATGAGCTTTCTAAAGATTTATCTGTGATCTGTACAAAAGAGTGCTTTTAAAACAATTGTATGTGTCACAGCAGATTATGAGATCCATATTGAATGAAAATATTACAACTCATCATTTTTTTTCAAAGTAGCATGCCATATTTATTATGAATTTAAAAAAAACAAGTGGCATGAAACAGGGATTTATGGTTTAGTAGTAAAAGAAGGTATTTAGTAAACATTTATGTTTTATATTCTAAAAATTAATGTACATGGGGTGGAGTAAATGAGTGGCATTGCATAGGACGTCTTAATGGAAGCAATATTTTCCCTGAATGAAGTATACTTTTGTATTTGATTGATTACAACTGATGCTGTTTCAGGATAATAATTTGGGTTGGCATTAGCTTATTGTTTTCTAGAAATCTATTTATTTTAACTAATGAAACCCACCCTTATCCAACTTTGCTCCACTTTCTGGATGTTCTTATGTTCATGTCATGTAAATATATAGCACATATAAAACTGTAAGTCAAAATTCATTAGTTTAAACCAAATACTTGAAAAAAAGTACATCATTAGGCATGAATACAAGAGGAAAAGATTTCGTAGTCTTTTAAGTAGCCATCAATCTCACTGTAGTTACAAAGAATTTTTCCTTTTCAAAATGTAAAATTTTTCTTTTGTTACTACACATTCATTGAGAAACATTGTGATACTGTATTAACTCTGTTTGAATAAAGAGCAATTGAGACTCCTTTTGAATGAGTGAGTATAAAGCACAAATTACTTTTTAATGAAACCCTCAATTCTTTCCCTTTGCACAAAAAAGCCTATAGCCTTGTTCAGCTGAATGCTACTACAGTAGGTCACTTCAGTTAAGCCCCTAATAAACTGTTGATAGTTGAGGGTAGTTTTTTCTTCAGTCTCAATAGCCCAGTGTTGGACAGTGCACTTCAAATCATTAAGGTTAATACTGATTTGAAAAAAAGAGAGAGATTAACTGTGGTGGTTAAGGCCTCAATTTACAACTCCCACACATACACATGCATTGAACAAGGCACAAGAATGGATTGAAATTTCTGTCAAATTGTGAGCAGCCTGAGAAAGTGGTACTCCAGTTTTTAAAGTTGGGCCATGAAATTTTTCTTTAGGAAAACTTCAGCGATACTGAGGAATACTGCTCAGTACACCTCATTTCCCTTTTAACTTTTCCAGTGAAAAGGTTAACGTTTTATCTGTGCATCAAACCAAAACTTTTAGAGCAAATGACCCCAGTGTAACTTGGGAATTACATGGAACTAGTCACCACACCCTTAGGTCAAATGCTCTTTAACATGGAACAGTTATGAGGGCTTGTGTTCAAAAATGGTGAAGGGCCTATGGGGGGGCAGGAGTTTCTTGAGTGGATGAGAAATAATTCTTCTTAGAACTTATCATCATAACTTCTAATGGTTCCTTTTCTGTAGGAGGGTTGAAAATCATCTTTCAACAGACAGATTTATACTCATCAGTATTGAGATGAACCTTCTTTGCAGAATATTTAGTCCTGGGTTATTGATTCTTTCAAGAGCTGAGTGAAGAAAGAAAGGATTCTTTTCTTCAGCTCCTCCCCATCATTTTCCCCGGGGTTTGTCTGAGCCTCCCGTGGAAGAGGTCATCTTTTCCCCAGAGAGACCAGACATACAATTTCAGAAACTGAGATATGGGAGAATAGACTGAAACCCTTTCAAATGATGGCCTATCTTTCACAACACTAAAAGGTATACTACTCCTTCTCTGAAGGTGAATTGATATCTCAAACTAATGCACTGTTTCTTTCACAAAATAAGAGAGAGAGAGAGAGAGAGAGAGTCTTTTACAATGAATACTGTCATTAGAGTGGTCTTATTAAATAAAGCACATTTTTCTAAAACAAGACCATGTATAAAGATTTGTAATCCCCCAGCCCTTGAAGTCTGAAAACCTACTAGTTAATAAGAGGGATGTTTACTACCCCTTTATTAGCATAGATTTTTCCCAAGCTTTTCTTTAGGAAAACTGTCTTCATTGTTGGAAAATATTTAAGTAACAAAACAGCCAAAAAAGACATGCTACAGTTTTTTATCAGCTTCTGTGTGAGTCTTATTATCTTAAGAAATAACAGTTAGCAGCTCAGATTCATTAGCAGAGCTAAATTTAAGCTCCATTTGACAGGCTGCCTAGAAAACATTTTGTTTTGCTGTCTGTGAGCTTTAATTAAGATGTGTTCAATTTCAGTCCTCCTCTGTCCTCCCTCCCCCCCCCACTTGCTGTGTCACAGACCGGCGATCAGACACTTTTAGATGGTCCAGCCCATGACTTTGACCTTCTGCGCAGTCCAGCGTTCCCTGGGGAACCGTTCAGCTCATGAGGTCTGATTTCACACTTCCAGGATGCCTCGGCTCTCTTAACAATGACGGGGAGACAAAGCCCTTTAGAGCAGGCCGCATGGGGACCTGTTTAAATTGGAAACTAGAGAGGAGTCAAGGAACAAGGTTATGGGCTACAGAATAGTGCTTTTAATAAAGAGCTCACAGCTCTGGTTCAGCTCAAAGAGGTCTACCTCTGTACAATTAATTGAGCCATTTATCTGGAGCATCTTAGGCCTCTACTTTCTCACAGAATTACGTGATAAATATCAGCTAAGAAGCAAATGAGATATGCATGAAATGAATTTTTAACACTTTGATTACTGTGCCTCCGGTCTTCATTAAAAGTAAATTTATTTGTATT